CCCTCTGCTCAATGCAGGAATATAAATCAAAATTTTCTCATTCATGTTCTCCTGAATTAATAGTTTAACTCATCTCTTTAGAGGTCAGCTTGATTGATGAACTATGTAAATGTTAGTGGCTAGAGATGGGCACAACTCACATTGTGCTGTGTTGTTACAGGTCATCAGTGTGGTACCACAGGAGCTGTGTGTTCCTTTCCCCCACCTGCATCCCCACCCGGCTCCCCCACTCACCAGCCGGTGCATGTGATTCATCTCCTGCTCTTCACAGGACCATCCAGTTGCAGCAGGATCATGGACTTCCCTTCTCCGTCTCCTCCAGTAACTGTCCACTCAGATGATAAGGCGGGGCAGAGATTCCTGCAGCACTGCTCCTTCTGCGAATGAACATTCATGTGAAGAGCAGGAGATGAGCAGTGCACGCTGCCTAGTGAGTGGGGAAAATTGGCTGGGATGGGGTGGGGGAAGGCAATGACTTAACGATGCTGCTGCTGCACAAAGCAAGTCATGCCCATCTCTAGTGACATCCTATTTTATCCTAATGGCCAATCCTAAAAATGTTTTCAAAGAAATAGGACCCACTGAGTTTGATGAGACAAATCATGATCTATGCACAAGATTTCAGAGAAGGGATTATTACATTCTTTATACTGGGAAAAAAATGTAATCAAGAAGTGAGAATGAGCCAGAGCCCAGGGACCAAGCGGAGAGTCTCCTCTGCTGATCTTAATCACAAAAAAGGTGCCTATAGGGAGATATGGTCCTTCAGGTAGCCTTGGACCCAAGCTGTATAGGGCTTTATAGGTAATGACCAGCACTTGGAATTGGGCCCAGAAATGGACTGGTAGCCAGTGCAATTCTTGTAACAGGTGCGTTATATGCTCCCTGTAGCTGGCTCCAGTCAGTAGTCTGGCTGCAGAATTTTGCTCCAGCTGACGTTTCTGAATCGTCTTTAAAGGCAGCCCCACATAGAGCACGTTACAGTAATCCATACAGGATGTAACTAAAGCATGTGTCACTGTAGCCAGATCCAACATCTCAAGGAACGGGTGCAGCTGCCACACCAGCTGTAGATGTGCAAATGCACCCCTGTCCACTGCGGAGACCTGGGTATCCAAGCTTAGGGATGAATCCAGGAGTACACCCAAGCTGTGGACCTGAATTTTCAGGGGAAGTGTATCCCCATCCAGCACAGGTAGTATTCCTATTCCCTTATCTTCCTTCTGAATAATCAGGAGCATCTCTGTCTTGTCTGGATTAAGTTTGTTTGTCCTCATCCAGCCCATTACTCATGCCAAGCACTGGTTTAGAGTCAAGACATCTTCCCTGGAATTAGGTGGAAAGGAGAGATAGAATTGGGTATCATCCGCATACTGGTGATACCAAACATCAAAATTCTGAACAACCTCTTCCAGCAGTTTCATATAGATGTTAAAAAACATGGGCGACAAAGCAGAACCCTGAGGAATGTCACAGGCCAGTGGCTAGGGCATTGAGCAGGAGTCACCCAGCACCACCTTCTGAGTTCAAACCTCCAGAAAGGACTGGAGCCACTGTAAAACACTGCCTCTGAGTCCCATCCTGGAGAGACAGCCCAGGAGGATACCATGGTCAATGGTATCAAAAGCTGCTGAGAGGTCCAGCAGAACCAACAGGGACATACTCTGCATGTCCATTTCCCAGCGTAGGTCATCCCGCAAGGCGGCCAAAGCTGTCTCTGTCCCATAGCCAGCCCTGAAACCAGATTGAAATGGCTCTAGATAATCCGCTTCCTCCAGGAATCCCTGGAGCTGAGAAATGACCACATGTTCCAGTACCTTGCCCAGGAATGGGATGTTTGAGACTGGCCGGTAGTTATCCAATACACTGGGATTCAGGGAGGGCTTCTTCAGTAGCAGTGTTATTACTGCCTCTTTTAAGCAAGCAGGGATCCTACCCTGCTGCAAGGAGGCATTTACCACTCCCTGTATCCAATCGGCCATTCCTCCTCTGGCTGCTTTTATGAGCCAGGAAGGGCAAAGGTCCAGCACACAGGTAGTGGCATCCACCTCTCCAAGAATCATTTCCACACCATCAGGCTGCACCATTAAAACAGGAAATTACAGCATCCAAGTCAGAGCGGATCCCAGTGCATTTATCTGCAAAGTGTGGTGCAAATTCCTCGCAGCATGTTGTGTAGTGCTCAATATTTTGTTCATTTGGTGGGGCAAGTATTAAACCCCTGACCACTCGAAACAACTCCACTGGACGGCTTTGTGCAGATGCAATGGCAGCAGCAAAGCCACTGCCACGGAATAAGCCTTCAAATGGGCTCTCGCCTGTGTTCGGTCAGATTCACTCTGAGTTTTCTGCCATCATCACTTGAGTTTCTGTCCCGCTCATATAGTCTCTGCCAGCTCCCTGGTGAACTGGGGGCTTGCCTGGCTCTACTTCATAGGAGACGACACTTCGAAGTGATTGTGTCCACCACCCTGGCCATTTCCCCATTCCAGAGATCATCCAGAGCTTCGACAGAATCATCTGCCAAAGGAACAGAAAACTCCCCAAGAGCTGTCAGGAAACCACTTGGATCCATCAGTCTCCTGGGGCAGACCATCTTAATAGGTCCTCCACCCCTGCAGAGATTAAGAGCTCCAGTAAATCTAAACCTCACCAGGCAGTGATCTGTCCATGACAACAGAACTACAAAGAGCTCCTCCACACCCAGATCACCATCATCCTGCCCAGCATGAAAAAAACAAGGTCCAGAGGGTGCCCTGCTATATATGTGGGGCCAGAAACCACTTGGGATAGACCCAGAGTTGTCATGGAGGACATGAAGTCCTGAGATGCTCCTAATAAGTTGGTCTCAGCATGGACGTAGAAGTCACCCAGGACTATCAGCCTAGAGGACTCCAACACCACCTCTGATACCAACTGAGTCAACTCAGGAAGGGAGACTGTTGAGGAGCAGGGTGGACGGCACACCAACAGAACCCCTATTCTGTCCAGAGTGCGCACCTTTAAGTATACACCCTTGAACCCAGAAAACTGCGGGACCAGGTGGGGGATGGAATCGCAATAGACAACTGCCACTCCACCTCCCCTCCAGATCTCGTCTGTTGCTGCTGCACAGAAAACCCAGGTGGGCAAAACTGGGAGAGACTAAGCTCCCCCAGCTTTATCCATTTGAAACTTAGCTTTCAAGCGGAGCCTGTAGGATTCATCTGATTATCTTAGGCTGGAGAACATCATAGGTTTCTTTTCCGTAAGAAAAAGAAACTTTATGTGACATTGGAGAAGGAGGCTCGACCGCGGAAGTTCAGCTGTTGTTTTCTTGCCTCTCGTTTTGAGGCTGGCCACACGTAAGAGTGGGCTCCTACACCTGCAAGAGACAGGTAGGAATAAGAAGTCCACAGGCTACAGCCCCTCCTCCTTCACAACGATTAGAAGTGCAGGATACCTTTTCCATACGGCCACTTTTCTTATCAGTGTCAATGGCATCTGCAAGAGTGTTATATTTTTTGCTATTAAACCTCTTCAAAAAGCTTCTTTAGAATTTAAAAAAATGCTCCCCACCCCCTCAAGTCATAGCAAGACTACTTTCTAGGAATGATTGTGTGATATACTGTATATAAAAAAGCAGTGCTAACAAAGAAGGTCAGGGAGATCCCCAGATTGTGAATAGGCAATTAAGTGTTACTAAATCTTGAGAGTATAAACTGATCAAAGGCGACTTCATATCATTAACTTCGTATCATGAACTAGGTGTTGCTTTATTGTTGTACCAAAAACAAGTCTTTAATATTTACAAGAACAGGCATTACAGTGGTGCCTCGACTTAACAAATGTCCTGACTTATGACCATTTTGAGTTGCGACCAGCTTTGGCCGCAAAATTTTGCTTCGACTTGCAGCCAAAGCTTCAAGTTGCCACAGGAAAAAGGCAGAGGAAAAAAAGCCGAGGAATTCAAATTTGCTAACAGTTGGTAGGCGAAGAGGCTGCTTCATTGTAGATCTTTCGCCCCAACGGTTAGAGTGAGTGCATCAGAGGAGGCTTCGGACTGCCTGGAACTGTTTTCTGCTCCTGAGTAAGTATAGTTACTTTGTCTTGCAAGGTGGGTTTGGTTTTTTGGGGGGTTATGTTTTTGTGCTGTGATGTTTTTTGTGTTTTTGTGTGGTTTTTCCACCATCCCCATCGTGTTCAGGCTGGCTGTGCGTGTATCAGGGTGTTTTGTGTTCCCCCCGTCCCATAGCGTTCTGCTGGGGCTGGCTGTGTGTGTGTGGGGGGTTTGAGTGTTTTTCCCCAGCCCCATAGCATTCCGCTGGGGCTGGCTGTGTTTTTTTGTTTGTTTTGGTGTGTTTGTTTTGGGGCCTCAGTGTGTTCCTATGGGGCTTGCAGTGTTTTATTGTTATTGATTGATTGATTGATTGATTGATTGATTGATTGTATTTTTTTCTCCAGCTGGAACAGATTAATGGAGTTTCAATGTATTCCTATGGGACATGGTACTTCAATTTATGGCTATTTCAAGTTATGCCCATCTTCTGGAATGGATTATGGTCGTAAATCGAGGCACCACTGTATGTGTTCATAGTATTGGTGGTCTAATACATTCTTCAAAATGCAGCATATTGATAACACCATGATTTCAGTAGTAATATTGCAGACAAATGCACACAAACGTGTGCACGTGTGCACGTGTGCACGTGTGTGTGTGTGTGTGTGTGTGTGTGTGTGTGTGTGTGTGTGTGTGTGTGTGTGTGTGTGTGTGAATATACTTGCTGATATTGCAAATACCTCTTGAAGTGAACCATGTGGAATTAAATCCTGTGAATTTGGTCCAGCACATGATCAGATCTTTGCACTCTATTCAGTCAGCAGACACTGAAAAATGTTATTCCTCAGATCTCAGTGTAGAAGGGATCTTTCTCACAAAACTACATTGTGTATTCAAAGTTGATATTTGAGCTTAAGAAAGTTCATAGATCAACTACCTAAGTAAGACAATTGGACAAAAATTAAGTCAAATTAAAATTCACAAACTATTAGCTGAGACTTTTTACAACTATTGTCATTCCATTTGCCATCCAAATAAATCTCTATGCAGTCTTCATGAACCCCATTAGGTTCACCTTTTGCCCAGTTTGAGTATTCCATTTGGTCACCATTTAGGTGCTTAAAAACTCCTTCAGTTTCTTGGTCATTCATGCCAAAAAACACACTTTTTCCATAGTTTCTAGCAAGTTGCAGTACAGCATTGTTCTCCTCTTCATTTCTTGGGGAAGCCATCTGGCCACCAAACTGGTAACACATTTCTTTTGAAGTCTCAAAATCACCTTCAGCTCCGTTGGATACATATATTTTTGCTCCAGCTCTTGTAATGTTTGGGAAAATATAACGTAGGATGCCTGGCAAACAATACAAGATGAGTTAATTATTTGAAACTTAGCTTTGTCATAAAAAACTGAAGATAAGGACCTGGATCTGATCCAGGCATTAATTTATAAGCTCATTGGATTACTTTAGTCACAGGAGTACCATGTGATATCAAAGAAGTTTACTAAAGAAGGGCACTTACTGTGGTTTGGATGATTGGAGTGGCTCTCTGAATTAGGCCCACAAGTGTTGTGCAGGCACCCTGGATTCTGCATCCCACCTTCTCCCACAGGTACCTACTTAGAGGAGGAGGAAGGGGAGGGAAACCCATGGCACTGCTTCTGATGGGGAGTCCACAAGAGGAGGCAGGGTGTGGAATCCAGGGTGCCTCCACAAGACCTGTAAGCCTGACCCAGTAAACTGCACTAAACCACTGAACCATGGTAAGTGCCCATCTTTAAAGATTATTAATGGAAGCAATGGAGGCTGAGGGATCTAACATAAACTCAGCTGTAAATCTGCTCTGGGTTTTGGTCAGAACTTCCCAGGAGCTGTCCAAAATGCTGAACCTATTTGACTGGGAAAGGATTCACCTTTGATGTTAAGTTTGGACTGATCTCAGATCACCTTCACTGTTGCACTGGAGCTATAACTTTCCACTGAATGGAAGCTGATTCACTTGTTCTCAAAGAAGTTCATCTCTATCTTACCTTGCTGGGTTTTCTTTGCAGTTACTTTCAATGAGTTAACTTCTGCTTGTAAAGCACTAATATGTGTTTTAAGGAGCTCAAGTTCTGAAAGGCAAAAACACAATGTCATGTTCTGCTTGTGTTAAAGTATTAACAACAACAAAAAGCCACAGGTATGAGGAAGCGTCTTTTTAGTTCTTGACAGATCTCAACTATGACATTTCTCATTCTTTCTCCTGTGCAGTCAACAAAGAGAAACAAATCAAATATTTGGCCAGAGACCATTTCATCAGATGCATGAAGCAGATTGAGTAAACAGTGGATGAACTGATATATATGTATTTCAGTCATATAATCTATTCTATTTTATTTGATATAACCATATAGTATGTGTCACAAAGTGTTTCCAAGCTTAGCGACGTGGTGTCAGATTTTGGAACTCCAAGTCAGAACCTCTTGAATGCACACATCATTGTGGTGATGGGGCTTAAATGTGTCAGGGAAGCTGAGGGCAATATTGTCAGGAAGATAAGTTCAGTTAAGAGACTAGACTTCTAGCAGGGTCACTCAAGGCAGAATGGTCAAAGCTAAGGTATCAAACTAGCATGCATCCACACTTTTGAGGACTTAATTGTCAAATCAGTAAAAGAGAAATGTTAGTTTTAATACTGATGAGAGCAGAAAAGTTCTTGAAGAGCTGCTACTAAGCAACAACACTAAGCAAAGTGACTCTGTTGTAAGACATTTCACAAACATTGACAGTGACACTCAAGCAAATTCTTGTTAGTACTGCATAGCAGGAGGCAAGTAATCAATTTCAGAATGATTTATAACTTGAAAACCAAATGATGAGATAAATAAGAAACAATACTGGAAAAATAATATTCCCATGTTAGAGGGTACTCAATCAACTACTAGAGAAAAGCTAACAATAAGTAGAAGTAAACTATCTTTAATGAAGTAACTGGACTAAATTTGAAAAGATACTCAGCTGCTGACCTGAAAAGAAAGTCCAGAGCTGCATGATATATGAGATTGGAAACTGAAATGTTAGAAGCATGGATCAAGGTCAGCTAGGGGTGTATTAACCCACTGATGGGCACTTAGGCTTTCAGGTATTTGGACCCCCTCTGACAATTCAATTTTTCACTCCACAGCTAAAAACTCTAGGGTGCCCCAGGAAAAAAAAGTGAAAGTTATACCTCACTTGTCTTGAAACGAAGGTGGTATTTTGTTTTGGTTTCAAACACAGTTCTACACTAAACGAAGGTCATGGCCACTGGTCCCATCAACTCATGGCAAACAGAAGGGGAAGATATGGAGGCAGTGGCAGATTTTACTTTCTTGGGCTCCATGATCACTGCAGATGGTGACAGCAGCCATGAAATTAAAAGATGCCTGCTTATTGGGAGGAAAGTGATGATACACCTAGACAGCATCTTAAAAAGCAGAGATATCATCTTGCTGATAAAGGTCCACATAGTCAAAGCAACGGTTTTTCCAGTAGTGATGTATGGAAGTGAGAGCTGGACCAGAAAGAAGGCTGGCTGCTGAAGAATTGATGCTTTTGAATTGTGGTGCTGGAGGAGACTCTTGAGAGTCCCCTGGACTGCAAGGAGAACATACCTATCCTTTCTGAAGAAAATCAAACCTGAGTGCTCACTAGAAGGACAGATCCTGAAGCTGAGGCTCCAATACTCTGGCCATCTCATGAGAAGAGAAGACTCCCTGGAAAAGACCCTGATGTTGGGAAAGTGTGAAGGCAAGAGGAGAAGGGGACGAGAGAGGACGAGGACAGTGTCATTGAAGCTACCAACATGAATTTGACCCAACTATGGGAGGCAATGGGAGACAGGAGGGCCTGGCATGCTCTGGTCCATGGGCTCACGAAGAGTCGGACATGACTTAAGGACTAAACAGCAGCAACAGCAACATTTGTAAATTTTCAATGCAGAAGAAATAAGGTGAATCTAACAATGAGGTCTGATACGACTTAAGTAATCATGGGCTATAATGCTAAACCTGACAGATCAATTGCTAGGGACAACTAAATCACCAACAGAGCTTTTCAGGCTGTAGACGTTGAATCCTGAAACAAGAATATGCCAACAAATATGAAAAACAAAATGAGGGCACATAGACTGGATGTGTTCTATATTAGAGATGGGCACAAATCAGAAAAATTGTGATTCATTTTGATTTGTGATTTGTTGAGGTCACTAAATCATGAATTATGAATTTATGATTTTTTTCTGACAAACTGATGAATTGATTTGTCAATTCATTTTTTCTTTTACTTTAAAACCTTATAAAACAGCCCCCAAAGCACCAAGAGACACCAAATTTTCAGGGAAACTTCTCCTGACTTGTCTCTATAAACTTTGTATGGTTGGTGAAGTTTGGGTTTCAGATGTCCAAATTATACAACCACAGTTTGCTCACTCCCAAAAAAGTTCCTCCAGGCACTTGGAGATACTAAAATCACACACAAAAAAAGCTTCTACTGATTGTTCTCTATAATTATCTCCAGGTTTGGTGAAGATTGGGTTTCAGGCATCCAAGTTATACTTCAACAAAGTGCACCCCCCTGCTAAAGTGCCCTTTAGCAGCTGGCTTGGGGAAACCCAGTCTTCAGCAAACGTGGGTGGATTGTAGAGGAGAGGGCGCTTACCTGCAATTTAGTGTCTCTAGGTGCCCTGGGGATATTTTGCAGCCAAACGAATCAGTGAATTCATTGATTAATGATTCGTCAGGGGCATTGATGATATGAATCATGAATTAAGTGATTTTGAATGAATTTGGTGATTCATTTTTAATTCGTGCCCATCTCTATTCTATATATGTTTAATTTCCAAGGAATGAGATGCCAGATAGGGTAGTAACTATAGGTCCATTTCATTAGTTTCCCATGCAAGCACATTGATGTTCAAGATTTTGCACCAAAGACCTCTGCTATATTTAGAGTGAGAAATTCCTGATATTTAGCTCAATTCCGAACAGGAGGACACACTGGAAATGCATTGCTTACTGGAGTGTACTAAAGAGTTTCAGAATGCAGTTGGTTTGTGCTTTATAGATGATAGCAAAGACCTTGTCTGTGCAGCTCATAGAAATTTATGGGTTGTTCTGAAAGACATGAGTGTTCCAGAAACAAGTTATTGTCCTTATGTATACCCAGTATTTTGGACAACAAAATAGTGTTAGGACAGAATAGGGAGAAATAGAAAATTTTATATCTGGCAAACTGTCAGACAAGGGTGCATTTTATCTCTTTGTTTAATTTGTATACGGCTGAAGTAGATTCAGATGGAGGAGTGAAAATTAATGGAATAATTTAACCATTAAATGCAAATTGTTAGCAAACATAGTACTAGTTTGTCTAGACTGAAGTAGGTGATATCATACTTGCTGAAAAAATGGATAACTCACTCAATTTGTAATGTTTTTATACTTGAAGGGACAGCTAGATATCACTACCACCCTAGGATTAAGAATGTTATCTCACCACATGGAAACACTGAAGATTTCATTATATTCTATTTAGCTATTGCATGAAAACCAGACAGAATTCAACAAAATTTCACTCTCTGTGCCTGCCTCTCTCTGTTCCACCCTCCCTCACTGTATTCACCACCATACTTTACCTGTGGCCCTGCTGTCACCTTTTTCACCTTTTCTCCCTTCGTCTCCTTTAGATCCAGGAGGTCCAGCTTTTCCTGGGAGACCCTGTGTCCCTCGTAATCCTGCCAAACGGTTTGATGAAAACATAAGGCAAAACAGGTGAGAAAATATAACCAATGACCCTTTTTGTATTTATGTGAACAAACAAACCACAATTCTGGAGGATAGTGTACACTCTGGAGACTACTAAGCAAATAAATAACCTCTCTGAATTGTTGTCCGCCAATTGTCACATTTCTTATCTCTTCAGGGGATGTGATTGACAGTTCCCCCCCCTCTCTTAGCCCATCTGCCATTCCGAGTGCAGGTGTTTGGGTTAAAACTTGGGACCTTTTCAGAACTCAGGAAAGTTACTTTTTTGAATCACAACTTCCTAAACATCCTTCGTTGCGTGCCAAACATAACACTTCACCACGGAGCAATTTGTGTGGCAATTTGTGCCCAAAGAGACTTCCTGCAGTTTTCAACTGCTCCACTGGCAAGTCTTCGTTTTGTACCTGGCTCCCCCTTTTCACCCTGACGACCTTCCTTCCCATCTCTTCCTGGTAATCCAGGACTCCCAGGAATGCCTGGCAATCCATTACTCCCAGCAACAACAGTGCAGGTGTTGACTTTTTCTTCACATCTGCATGGCTCAGGGTCCAGTGTTTTCACCAATGACACTCCCAGCATGAGGATGAAGAAAGAACAAAACTGCATATCTCCAGGGTGAGATCTGAGGGTAAAACAAATGTCAAAATCCATTATGTTAGGTGGTAAGCCAGTGTCTGGACTTTATCCTGTCATACTGAGAGTTATAAGACTGATTTTTCCTTTCCTCCTATAAGACTGCTTGAGATAAAACAGGTTCTAGGCTGATGCACTCAATGTACGTATATATACACATTTTCAAGAGGAATATATGAAACAGGGGCAGAAACTGCTGCTTCTGGTTGAATTCATTTTCCTATGTGCTTTTTAAAAAGAGTTATACACACAGATTCAATTACCGGATGCAGCAAGCACGCACTTAAGTGATGCTCCCTTAAGAGGTGAAAAATGTCTATTTGCCTCAGGATGAGCTTTCCTTGCTCTGTGTGTAGCACACAGTGTTGTTCTTCAGAATGTAAATACAGGCTTTGTTTGGAAGTGTCAGTTGCGCAGGCAAGAGCCTTTGAAGGATCTGAGTCTTTGGAGGGAAAATGTTGCAAGAGCAGGAAATAGGCATTTCTCTTAACAGGTGATTTGGTCCATAGTTTGGTTGAACACATGGAAGTCAGGAGTGTGGACACTCACCACAGAAACATGCCTTCACTCTCTGTGCACAGAAATTGATGAGGACTTACATTTTCTATTAGCAAAAGACAGGATTCCCTCCCCCCTTTCTCTTAATAAATGTTTAGATTTTACAGAGAGAGAGAGAGAGAGAGAGAGAGAGAGAGACAGACAGACAGACAGACAGACAGACAGATGGACAGACGGACAGACAGACAGACAGAGGGAGAGACAGAGGGAGAGACGGAGAGGGAAAGAGAAAGAGGCAATTGCATTTATAAATAGCAAACCAAGTCAACATTGGCTAAACAGATTAATGATCAATTACATCCTAAGAAACAGTTTTGAAATGGCTTTCCAATAGCAAGGTTGTATATCACTGCAGGCCTAGGACATGTGTTTTAATATTGATAACAATATTTACGAACACTAATGCATTTGCTAAATTGTTTAATATGGAAAAATGTTATCCAGCCGATCAGTTAATTCTATTTGAAAAGAACAAGAATAGCAAGAAGGAAGAATAACACAGTATCATTCTACATGTTTTCCTTTAAATCCTATAGGCATCTGTAATGGTAAGACAAGAAGCATGACTATTTGTTAACACCAAACAACTGGAAGGAAAACTCCATAACTTTACAGCAGCACATCTTCAGATAAATGTCACTGAATGATCATTGGATTATGTTGAGGGGCTTAACATATACCATCTTCACTATTTATAGCAAGGCGGGGGAACATATGGCCCTCTAGATATTGATGAATTATAACTCCCATCAATCCTCACAATTGACCAGGATGGCAAACATTGATGGGGATCAGAGCCCAACAGCATTTGTCACATGTTTCCCCTTCCTGGTCTAGAGAATTTAAAGGACAGAATTTACCCTGTTTAGGGATGTTTTTGATGGCCAATCTCCTGAGAAAAGAAAGTGTAACCACACCCTAGAAAAAGCTGTTTGCATTTGAATAAAATGTGAATTGACTACACACCTCAGAATCATAGGGAAGAATGAAAAAAGTGTGAGACTGAATTTATTTGCAGGAAATACCCTTAGCTACCTAGGATATTTTGTGGAGTCAACTCCAATAATCCTGCAATGGAATTGTCGACCTAAACAGCCTCCTTCTTTTTAATTAAGTTGACAAGAAGGCATAAGAAATGTGGGGCTTACATTTTGAGTGGGTAGTGAAGGCCTGTTACACAGCTTCATGAACATCAGTGTGCCTGATCTACAAGTTTAGTTTGGATTCCAGGTTGATCAAGCCTGGCTGATTTATTTCAGGATCTTGTGGGGTCTGAAGTATACCCCTAGTAAAAATACAGGAATGTGGTGAGCAGTTGTAGGATTGAGAGAGAAAGCAAGGACCTTAAATCAAGCCTCTAATTGGGCAACTATGCTCATCCACTGCTAATATCCTTTAGGGGAGGATGGCTCATGTTTCAAATGAATCCTTAATGGTAAGCAATGTGCAGACACTTGATTTCGAATGTTTTTGTTGCCCACAACAAAAGGAATGGCTCCTGGAGATTATGTAAGTCACAATCAAGGAGGTGGAGTTGAATTTGATTCCTTGATTGACAGAACAGTTTGGCAGGTAGTGACTGTCTCTGTTGCCTAAAGTTTAATTTGACATTTATATATTTGGAATAGGCTGGCTAATCTGGTAAATACAAGGGGAATGGAAGGCACACAAAGAAGTCCCTTCATTTGACAGAAGGAAGTGGTTGGCAGAAGGACATTGAGCAATTTGGGTGGGGCATGTTCTGGGAAATCAAATGCTCTGCTGGCACCTGGCAAAGTCACCCGCTTATCTGACTCAATTGCCTTGTAATTACACAAAAGGACATAGGGAATCCCTAGCTGAATCTTTTCAATGTCAATGAAATCCAGTTATGGGAAACTTCAGGCCTTGGGTCAAAACTGAGCCCTCCTGGGATTTCGCTCCAGACTTTGGGATTTCCACTCCCCCTTTCCTTATGATACCATGCTTGGTGGTCAATCTCCCAACACTTATATGGTCCCCCCCCCATATTGTAATGTCTAAAAATGGTCACTGCCACTACTGGGATTGGTAGCAGTGGTGGCGATTTGGTGGCATTAGTACAATCTAGTTGTTCACTCAGACCTTCCACAGCCTTACCTCTGGCTAATTTTGTCTCTTTTAATTACTGATGCAATGTTATTTTTCGGTTAATTGTCTCTGTTTTGCCACCACCTTCTGTATTAGTTAGATTTTATATATACAGTAATTAATTTAGGGTCACTTTTTCTTTGTTTGACAATTTAATTGATGGCTATTATTTAATTTCATTTTATGTCTACATCATTTCATTGCAAGCCGCTCAGAGTAGTAGCTTGCCCACTAGATGGGCTGGATAATTAATAAACAAACAAACAAACAAACAAACAAACAAACAAACAAACAAACAAACAAACAAACATAAAAAACCTATGGCTTCTTCTACTGCTGTTTGCCCTGAGATTTGTCTCCCTGTTTGGCGACCCAGAGAAGCACAGCATTTTCTTAAGGCTTTAAGAGAAGCCCTGAGACTTTGCAACCTGACCTGTGGAGCCATTTTTGTCCTCATCTGCCCCCCCCCCGCACTTATCCATTTATGTTGACCTTATTGTATCACCTCTGATCTTAGAGAGTGGCATGATATTGGGAATTTGCTTTTCTAGATACAGATCACTGGACTGGTCCAATTACGTCAGAGTGAATTCTTCCTTGTTTACTCTGTTCAGGGGTTGTTAAGAGGTTAGCAGAAGAGAAACGAAGATATTGAAATAGTTTCTCATCCTAATGCTCACTTGCTGCACAGCATTCTTTTAATTTTTGAACTTCATTATCTTCTGTTAGTTCAGACTTGCAATTTATTTATTGCTATGCCCAGTTATACTGCGTAGGTTATACTGGATGTTCGTACAGCGTCTTAGTGTCAGCTTTGAAAATTTGACTGTAGCTTATCTCAGTTGTTTAGGTATCTGGTTGTGGAGCCAGAGGTTGGAAGTTCAATTCCCCACTGAACATTCCAGAAGAGCCAGCATGCGTGTCCTTGAGCAAGCTATATAGTCCCATGGTGGCCCTTGAAGAAGGAAATGTTAAATCACTTCTGAGTATTCTCTACCTGGAAAACCCTGAAAAAGGCTCACCATAAGTCAGATTTGACTTGGCAGTACATTCTTATTCTTATTCTTAGTAGTAGTTGTAGTTGTAGTACATTGCCTACATGCATAACTTTAGACTCCATGCAATAAGCCTAGTTAAAGTTGATTTTTTAGTACAGAAAACCAGATAAAATCCCAAAAACTCCAGAATTAATTTATGCCTTTAATACATAAGAAAACAAGTTACAAGTAACTCTTCATGCCATTAGTTTCATGCAGAAACCGAATAGGTTGTTATTAGGCAATTCTAATGGAGAGGTAAAAGACAGGTAACAAACATAAGCAATAAATGCTGCTAATGATGGGCAGAATCCTACTGCTATTTGTGTAACATTTACATAACTAAAAGTAAAGATAATGGTTCCCCTTGACATTTAGTCCAGTTGTGTCTGACTCTAGGGTGCGGTGCTCATCCCTGTTTTCAAGCCGTGGAGCCAGCGTTTATCCATAGACTATATTCGTGGTCACGTGGCCAGCGTGACTAGACACGGAATGCTGTGGTGGTATCTGTTTATTTACTCACATTTTTACATGCTTTCAAACTGCTACGTTGGCAAGAGCTGGGACAAGTGATGGGAGCTCACTCCATCACATGGATTCAATCTTATGACTGCTGGTCTTCCACCCTTGGAAGCACAGAGGCTTCTGTGGTTTAAACCGCAGTGCCACCATGTCCCTTACATAACTAGCCAAGAGTAATTACAACTAATTGATGAGGTGGCAGGACATGCCTTTGTTACAAGACTGGTCATATGCCTGCTTGTGCAACTGAAATGTGTCTTGTTAGCTCATCAATTAGTTACACCAAGTTATGCAAACTTTCCACTAACACCATAGGATTTTGGCAGCTATATACCTGTAAACTCTTCTTGGCTGTGTTGCCAGAGTGCTGCCACGTGTATGTGGGAACTGATACTGATGGATCCCAGTTAGAAGCACTTATCACCAATATTCCATATGCACAGTCAATCAAAATCTTTATAGCATCTAAATGTAAATTTGATCTCTGGGTTGCCATTTTGGCAGGTATGTTCCATGCATGTTTTGTTGCGGCAGGACTTAAATCCTTGTTTTGCATGGATGTTTTGTTAATGCCCCTCATGTAACTCTGTCAAAAATTTGGCACAGCAGCAACATAGGAAGGATTGACTGGGTACAACTGTGTTGTCTCTTCCAACATAAGCACACTATAAATATACACAAAAGTCACTATGTATGCAGCACTGAAAGAAAAGTTACCAGCTTACCTTCTTCACGTTCTCTCTCTCTGTACAATTCAGCTGGATCAGATTCACTCACTTTTGCTTAACTGTGAAAGAGAGCTTTACTCCCTGTCAGTTTGAATTCCAGTGGCGGGCAACTCCCAACACTAAGTCCCTTCCTTGGATATGAAGCAATGAGGCAGATGAAGCAAGAACTGAAGAACCCAAACTTGTTATTTGCTAAAGCAAACCAACATTTTTATTTCAATGGATTGCAAAATAGTCTTGCATCACAAGATCACACAGAGCACTTTAGCGGCGTCCCAAGAAAGAAAGAAAGAAAGAGAAAGAAAGAAAGAAAGAAAGAAAGAAAGAAAGAAAGAAAGAAAGAAAGAAAGAAAGAAAGAATGAATGAATGAATGAATGAATTCCGGCAGGAAGGTATGAAAGGAATTCTGTGAGTTTGAAAGATATGTGAGGGTACTGAGGGAGAAATAGATAGCCAAAGGATGAGCTAAGAGGTCAATCCCTTCAAATATTTATCTTTGTATCTCTATATATTTCAGAATGTGTATCTCAAGCTATGAAAATCAGATACTGTTTTATTTTGCTTTTGTTTTTTTTGCTAACATTCATAGAATAATTGAGTTGGAAGGAGCCTATAAGGCCATTGAGTCCAATCCCTTGCTTAAGTTAGGTTGGACATAACCAGATATAAAAAATCTGCACACACGCTGCTATTAATGCTTGGGATACAAACTTGAGAGTGCTTCCAGAGAAAAAGAGATCACAGTGACACCTATTAAAACATGTTTTGAACCTTGTCTGTTTCTCCCAACTGATTTTATGTAGTAAAGTTAAGGACAAAAAGGGTAGAAAAAGTTCTGGGAAAATATGGGAAGGCTACTGTGAGAGGGGGGGCACTGCTGCACACACCCCTAGTGGACCGTCTGCTCCAAACCCATTCCCAGAGATGCAAGGTGTGACTGAGGCATCAGCCATCACTGGGATTGAGAAGAGCGTGGGCCAGGTTGCACAACCCCAGGAGAGGGAAGGACAGGGGAAGGAAGGCTCTCTAGAGGAAGGTGGGAAAGGAGTACAACACCGGGAAGGGGAAGGGCAGGGGAAAGAAGGACCCCTGGAAGAGAGCAGGGAAGTGGGAGGGACTTTTGACTTGGGAACTATAAAAGGGAACCTAGAGAATGTAGGTGGGAGGTGATGCAGCAGAGGAAATATTCTCTGACGTGGGCAAAGAAGGGGCATGGAGCAATGCTTGGGAGGAGGTGTCAGAGGCATACAATATAGAGGAGACTCTGAAGCTAGAGGACAGCTGGGAGTGCATATACTGAGAGGATCCCCAGACCGCGTGCTAGTTGAGTCCCACATGCCCTGATCAGTGGTCCCCAACCTTGGGCCTCCAGATGTTCTTGGACTACAATTCCCAGAAGCCTTCAGCACCACCTCTGCTGGCCAGGATTTCTGGGAGTTGAAGTCCAAGAACATCTGGAGGCCCGAGGTTGGGGACCACTATGCTAGATGAACTCCAGTATGCCCCACCACCCAAGTTATGGCTGAAGCCTCAGGAATAATTTCATCAATGTGGATCAGGTGGGGGGCTACCCCCAATCAGCTGTAATGCTGGTGAAGAAATTGACAAAAGGAGTGCCAGAGGCTTCTCTAGCAGCAGCAAGCAGGGCTCATAAGCACATAGCCAGCTCACCAGACAGGTATGAAGCAACAAGGCTTGCGCTTTTTGTACCTGTGCTAACCCTCACTCCTTTCATGTAGTAGGTAGAGCCACTGAAATCAATGGGACTTAAATGAGTTGTGTCACAGCCATTTCTACAGGTTTACTTTAGATATGGATAAAGTCTGCATGTAACTTTGTGTCATGAACAGAGCTGTAAATGAATACTAGTACTGACAGACCTAGAGCAGACCCACTGAAGCAGTTTCTGAATGGGCAGCCATCTCTTATGGAAGCTCTGTTAATCCAGTGGATCTACTCTAGTTGAGACTAGCAATTTGATTTAGGCCAAGGTTCACTGGATTCAAGATGGTAAATAGTATACAATCATACAAGGTGAACTAATGCTGCTGATCAAATCCTAAATACTGGTGATGGTATTTTGTTGTGCTATACAACCCCTCTCCCCCCTTTATAATAGGGGCCCACACTGAATGGAGCATTGATAAGCCAGCAAGATTAACCTTGCACATTGACTCACACCTACACAAGATGCAGACAAAAGGATCTTCTTCCTTCCAAATTTATTATTAATTTCAGGAACACTTTTCAGCTGACATTTCTTCCTGGGCACTTCAGAAACACTACTGTGTCAAAGACTCTGCTGCTACTCATAAGAGAGGAAGACGAAAAAATAATAATAATAATAATAAAAGCAGGAAAATATTCAGAGTGAAACTAGGTGAGATATTCAGTTCCAGTTTAAAAGTGAAGCTCCCTTGAATTGTTGAAGATATCCACCTGTCATTACACAAATGTTTTCCCCCTCTGTATCCCGAATTCCAGAGTGCTTGTTTTGTGATTGGTCATCAGAAGTTAAGCGTAGGCTTCATTTCCTAGAAATATTTCTAAATGGGACTGATTTTGAGATCTTACAAATACTGTAACTATGCAAAGGATGATCAGAGCCACCAGGAGAGAGATTAGAATTCACATACAATTAACCGCCTTTCTGTGCAGGACCTATCATTCCACTTGCCATCCAGGTAAATTTCAATGCAGTCCTCTTTCCCACCAGCATTATTTGGTTCTTCATTTGCCCAGTTTGTGTATCTTACTTCACTCCCATTTATATATGTAAACATGCCTTCGGATTGCATGTCATTCATGCCCAAATATGCCGCCTTGTTATGCCTTGCAACTATTTGCTGGACAGCTGCATTCTCAGCGGAACTCCTTGGGGAAGCAAGTTGTCCACCAGCCTGGAAGCAGGTGGCTTTGGAAGCCTCGTAGTTGCCTTGGGAGCCATCCGTCTTGAAGAGCTTTCCACCAACGCTTCTGCCGCTTGGGAACAAGTGAGCTGAAGGAACACCACAGCAGTAATGACTCTATTAAGTTTTGACTCCATCAAATGCCCCATCACACGGAATTCACAATTGACTGACACCATTATTGTAACTATTTTTTAAAAAAACCAAAGCAGCCTGGAAGGCGATGTGTCTGAATGACGGTTTAGAAATTTCATTTGTTTCCTAGAATATAGAAAAATTATTTCTTGGACTAAAATTCCCAGGATACTTCCTGGCTTAGAGAATCCAAGGGTTATAGTTCAAAAAGCCAGTGTCCCAAATTCTGATCTTTATACCCCCAAATGAGTTACAAAGCAACCAAAGGAAAGTGGCTTTAAATGGGGAAAAAGAGAGAATAGGAAACTGTCTAGAGAGCCTCATGGTGCAGTGGTTAAACTGTTGTGCGGCAGTGAAGACTTTGCTCATGCAACCAAAGGAAAGTGGCTTTAAATGGGGCAAAGAGAGAATAGGAAACTGTCTAGAAGAGAGCCTCATGGTGCAGTAGTTAAACTGTTGTGCTGCAGTGAAAACTCATCATGACATGATTTCAATCCCGGGCTCAGGTAGCTGGCTCAAGATTAAGTCAACCTTCTACCTTTCTGAGATTGGTAACTAGAGTACTCAGCTCATTGAGGAGGAGGAGGAGGGCAATGTGTAGCCTCCCTAATTAAATTGTAAAACCAGTCAGAGAGTGCTTTAAGAGCTCTGGGAAAGTATACAAGCAGAACGCTTATTTTAGTAACTGAGATAACCAGGCCATCTAACTTACCACTGTTCACTCATGCCACTAGGAGCCCCACAATCTCATATGGGGTCAATACCTCTACTTCTTCCCTAATACCTTTAAGTGGAGACACTGGAGATTGAACCAGTGGCTTTCTACAAGCAAAATATGTGGTCTACCTTTGATCTATGGCCCCTCCCCTTTACCCATGAAAAAAGAACTAAGCATATCCTTCTCTCATTCCCAACTCTCAGTCTACTCTTTCTGAGCAAAGAATAATTAGACTCAGCAAAAGGTCTACGCTTTGGGCTAAAGACTCAGTGAATGGCATAGTCCACTTCATTATTATTGACTTAATGATGAGTTGGTTAATTAACAACCCAAACCCTGTTGTACAGCTTTTCTGGCACAAAGGGAGGAAGGTAACTAGTAGTAGCAGATTTCCACCCACTAGTTCAAGAGTTCTTGCTTCAATTTCATGTGCCTGACTTTCAAATCTCACATACCTTGAAAACCCTATTAGGCTTGCCTTAGGTCAGAAACAACCTGATGGCCCATAAGAAGAGGAATAGAAATCCCAACTATTGAAACAGCTGCACGGTTTGCTATGAGTTTACAGAAGGTTTGCTGCATTTCAGAAGTTAAAGGGAAATGCCAAATGTGTCATATGTTGTACTCTTAATGAATCTCATATCGCTTTGCCAACTCTCAAAACTTTTCTCTTCCTCACCAAGCCTGTAGTCAATTATTTGCCTGAATTTTGTGTAACTTTGCAATATTATGCAGTGGAGAATTTTAAGACTTAAAATTGTGTGGGTGTGGGGTGGATGGGTCTTCCAAAGACAGCTCAGGAAGCAGAACACCTAGTTGTTGTGTGTTTTGACTGTTTTAGAAGCTTCAGGCTTCTCTTGCTTGTCCCACATTAATTAATTGCATACCATCAAGTTGAGTCTGACTTGTGGTATAGAGTACTCAGAAGTTGTTTGCCATTGTCTTCCTCTGGAGGCACTCTGGGACTGTTTATATTTCTCAAGGCTACAAAGCTGGCTCTTCCACCAGGAGGCAAAACGGGGAATTAAACCCCCCAGTCTTTGCTGACTTGTGGTATAGAGTACTCAGAAGTTGTTTGCCATTGTCTTCCTCTGGAGGCACTCTGGGACTGTTTATATTTCTCAAGGCTACAAGCTGGCTCTTCCACCAGGAGGCAAAATGGGGTATTAAACCCCCCAGTCTTTGCTTCTGGAGCCAGGTACCCAACTCACAGAGCTATTTAGAAACAAGCTGTTTCTGTCTTCAGTGAAACTGTAGAGACATTCCTTTACCACAAACCCAAAGACAACAAAATAAAGCTATTTGCTGTATTAAAAAGTACTATTTTCTTCAGTCCATGTAAAACCAACATACATTCATGCAGTAGCAAGGACCCTCATGCAAGGCTTTTGACTTTAAAATAAGGGAAAGGAACACAAGCCCAAAGACAACAAAATAAAGCTATTTGCTATATTAAAAAGTCTGTGTAAAACTAACATACTTTCATGCAGTAGCAACGACCCTCATGCAAGGCTTTTGACTTTAAAATAAGGGAAAGGAACACAAGTTCAGAACACGCCAGCAGTTAAGAACAATTTTTGAGTGGCCACATAGCTAGGGTTGCCATGTCAGCAGCATCCTAGTCCATTAGATTTCTGGGCCAAAACATGAAAAAGAGGGTGGGACTTTGCAATGTGATAGATTTGGAGATTTTGGATGTCACAGGGGTGGGCAGGTAAAGACTGAAAGGGGACAAAACTCTTTCAAAACTCCTTCTGGATCAGGTGTGTTCAAGAAGGGCCATGAAAGATATCTGGATAACAGGGCCCAGAATCAGGTGAAGCACATCTAACCAGGTAACATGGCCACTCAGAACCAGGGACATTTTTTTCCAGTAGCTCTCAAGGTTCAGAACCAATTATAAAATTGGTAGATTTACCAGAGCTTCTTCTGTGACATGTTGGCTTTCTATGTGCAGGGAGGATTTTTTTTTTTAAAAAAATATGGATTCTGTCCTATGCCGATAGTATGAAGTAGCATAACCATGAGAAAAGCTTTGTCATAAATAAGTCTTCTGGGTAAATTAACCCTCAGACCTTTATATTCAAGAGACAAAACTGATAGAATTTGGTAGAAATGATATACAATACAGGATCATAGCTAACTCATGCAATTTTTCTCACCATTTTGGTTTCTGAGGATGCTGCTTCTCAATTCCTCCAGTAGATCTCTCAAATGGGCCACCTCAGATTGAAGGCGCTGGAGTTCTAAATTGTGAAATATCAAGTCAACTATTAAGAAACCTGCCTCAAAACATTTTTTTAAAAAATCCCTGAAAAAGCACACCAACTGGAAACCTAACATGCTGCCAGTCTGACCTCAAAAACACTAGCCCCCATTTCAGAATTATGGCAAAATGCTTTAACAGTCCTTGAAATGTGCAGAGAAGTCAAAACTACAGACTAAAAAAAAGGGCTGATGATCCTCATTTTCAAACAAAAACCTATTGTTCAGATTTAGCTATGGGCTTGATGGGCATAGCACTTTTTAAAAAGCTGTATTCTTGCCTATTGGTTGTTCTGGAGAGAGAACTTGAGCCCAGATTAATTTGGTCCATTCTTGTTTCTCCACTAAATTGTCAATTGGCAAATTTCCAGCTTTCTTTAAAGGGTTATCTGTGTATACTCTCACTTGGTCTATGTCCAATCAGTTGAGTTAGAGACCAAGGATGTGAAATGCATGGATTTCTTGGTATTTTCAGATTGACGGTTCCCACTGTCCTTTGCTACTGGCTGTGCTGACTAGTTGCAGTCCACCATCAAAAGAACCAAATGTTCTCCAATATTTGGATTTCAGATGGCTCTTACTTAATTATTACAGGATTTGTGTGTGTGTGTGTGTGTGTGTGTGTGTGTGTGTGTGTGTGTGAGAGAGAGAGAGAGAGAGAGAGAGAGAGAGAGAGAGAGAGAGCACTGAAATGTTGCCTTCTGTCTTACAGATGTTTCCCAGAAATCTGGACATAACCTTTGCATCATTGATACCTAGTGGTTTACCATTTTGTCTGCTAGTGAATGTTTGGTTGAAGAGGTTCAGTACCTTTTCCCCCATGGTCTCCCTTTGGTCCTCTTTCACCTGGAGGTCCCCAGTCCCCTTTAGGGCCAGGAGGGCCAGCTTTTCCTGGAGGTCCCTGTGTTCCTTGAGATCATAACAAATCACAGGGACAATAAGAAACATGTAACAAATAATAAGAAATACAAATTGACATGCATGGGCTAGGCAAAGTAATTTTAAATAAATGTACTTCATATCTATCGGATGTTTGTGATTTAAAAGAGCTAATTTAATGTCCGTCCGTCCGTCCGTCCATCCGTCCGTCCATCCATCCGTCCGTCCGTCCGTCCGTCCGTCCGTCCGTCCGTCCGTCCGTCCGTCTTTCTATCTATCTATCTATCTATCTATCTATCTATCTATCTATCTATCTATCTATCTATCTATCTATCTATCTATCTATCTATCTATCTATCTATCTATCTATCTATCTAGATGTTCAACTGCTTGCATCTAGAGCCAGAAGTAGGGGCAGGGCTTACATGCCTCAAACACACTTCTCATTGCCCGGCAGCCTTCCAGACTTCCATAGGCTCTGGTTAAGATCTGAATTGGCTTCAGTGCCCCTTTGTCCAACAAGATTGGGAGAGACATTCAAGTCCACATCAGCAGAGGTGGAATCTGAAACATACATCTCTGATTTGAGCCTCCACTCCCCCCCCCATTTTGAAACTTTTTTTTTTTTTTGCAGTCTGATACAGGGATCACCACTCGTGCCTTTAGATTGCACAGAAGAACCATGTGACTTTTTAAAAAAGTTGTCCCTTTTTGCATTCAGTTCCACACTGTTACAGACATATGATCAAGGCTCCAAGATTACAACATTCTTTTAATGGACTTAGTTCCAGCTTTCCCAGGCTGGATTTTGGGATCCAGTTTAAAATGCTGATTTGAATACAGCACTGAAAACACTGAACAGCTTCAAACCAGGATAACTGTCTGTATGAACGCCCTCCAATCCTGCTCCCCAGCTAATTATGTTACCTGAGTTACTAACATGGAAGGTGAGATCTTTTCAGTATGGCACCCTACTTATGGATCAGACATCTCAGCAAGGTTTACTTATCATTGTAACAATGTTTTCATCGTCAGCCTCTATCATATTTCAGTGTGGGTACGTATTTTGAAAATCTGTGCTTTTAATTGTGTTCTGCTTTTTCAGTTACTTTCATTGTTTTATATTACACTCTGATGCTTCATTGGTTTTGTATGCTGCTCATATTATTTATTATGTGGCAGCGATGTCAATATGGGTCGTAAGTAATAAATAAAATGGATAGAGAGATGTTTACTCGAGTTGCATCTCACATATAATTAGGCCAATTAGTTCCAAGTTGTTCTAAATGGAGAACAATAACTGATTTCATGCTGTGCCTCAAAGCATGATTAGCATCATCTTATCGTAAGAATCAGCCATTGGTCCTTGGGACAAATACTTCTGGCTGTTCAGTTACGAACGAAGAGGGATTGAAAAGATGGATATTGGACAAAGATGGCTGGATTCCAGTGGTGGTGCGGAATGTATGGCTGAATTCCCATGATACCTTTTCACTCCTTGCTCAGAATGACCTTCCAGTAAACCTGGTTTGAGAAAAGAATGTATTCCAGTGGTGGTGCGGAATGTATGGCTGAGTTCCCATGATGCCTTTTCACTCCTTACTCAGAATGACCTTCCAGTAAACCTGGCTCTGAGAAAAGAACCTGCCCACATAATAATCACTTGACCAAGTTTTAAGAAGCACTTTCTCTCTAAACATACCTTGATCGCCCTTCTGGCCAGGAGGGCCTGGTAAACCACTGTTGCCAGGAATCCCAGCAATGAAAGGACATGCGTTTGCTTTATCTTCACATCTGCAGCTGTTATCGGGGTTTGTGCTTTGTGACCAGGTCACTCCCAAGATAAGACAGCCCAAAGCCCAAAGAGAATTCATTCCTAGAAAAGTGGTTTTGGAAGACTTTTCATGTATCCTGAAAAACATTGGATTGATCAATGGATAGAAACAGATAGTAATCATTCACTCAATGAGCAATTTTAAAGTTAGCCCATTGAAACATGTGTACAAAATAATGATGAACATATAAGGGATGGGTAAAGATTTTGTTTGATTTGTTTTAACCCCAGAAATAGCTTACATTTCCTCATAAATTTGAAATGAAGAACTTGAGATGAAAAGTAGGTTCTTCAGTGTATGAGAGACTGAATTTGTAGACCCAGGCAAATCATGTTGACTTTTTAAGTGTGGCTTGAATCCCTGTATAATACAGCCACCTTTGTGTTGCTGAATTAGGGTAATCAGTGTGATATGAAGTAACTAGACAATTTGGAGTAAATGTGAGCTAAATGGAGAATGGGCATAAAGACTGATGAGCATGTTCTAATGAAGGCTTTAAGAGTGAGCGCAGCCTGACAGCTTGAACAAGAGATTTCACACTTCTCCATTTCGATATGGCTTCCAGGATGAGACTTCTGGGTTAAAATGAATAGGATGAAAAACATGGAAGAGGCTCTTTTGTTTTCAGATTCCTTTGTTAGTTTCTCAAAGAGAGCCTCTGAAATCTGAATACTTCATTTTAATGAAAGTTTCAAATTCTTTTGTGTTTCCCTTACATTTGCGCTTTCCTTCACCTTTTGTATGTCAAATCGCTCAGGAAAGATTCAGTCAAGCAGCTCCACAAGGCCTGCTGTTAGCAGCCAATCAGAATATCCAGGAGGAGGGGAGCTGGAATTTTCGGTTGCAGAAGGAGCTGGATTGGTTGGAACCCATTGAAGATTGTTCTTTGCTTCAACCGTTCCTTCTGGGTGGGATCAGTCTGCTCCTAAGCTGCATAGTGCCATCTATCTTGATTGTGCTCTCCATCTGAGCCTGCAGATTCTTTTTGCCTTTTTTTTTGGCCTTCCCTTTTCTTGAGATTATGTTTGCTGCTACTGCCAAACAGCCTACCTATGGTGCCAACACGCCTCCTTGGGATTATTATTTGGATTTTTTAAAATGATTTTCACCTTCTCCTCTCTCTCCTTCCCTGCATTATTTTGCAGCCTGCCACTGTGTACTGATGGTAGTAGGGAGAAAAATCTGCCCGATACCCATATTCTAGTCAGAGCTGGCAACATTATTGCCTTTGTTTGCTTCCTTGCGTTTCTTGTTTCTTGGGAGGGGGAACTGTGTGTCTGTATGTCATACTGTCTCTTTACCCACATGTGTGAATATCAGGATTTCTTTCCCTATTAGACTGAATGTTAAAAATTATGTTATTTTGGCTAGTTTACTATCAACGGCCTACTTTCCCTTGCTTGTTTGAAATAGTTTTAAAGAGTTTATTAGAAATTTTAAGTTGATTTTATTATTTGACTTTCCCCTGCTTTTTTATAGTATTTTAGGGGTTCTTTTGGACTAGTGTGAGAATATTAATATGAATGGGGGGAAACTAAGTGAAAGAACAAGAATGAGCTGACAGATTTTTGTATTCAGTGAAAGCACAGGTATTTTATTTATTTATTTATTTATTTATTTGTTTGTTTGTTTGTTTGTTTGTTTGTTTTGTTTTGTTTTGTTTTGTTTTGTTTTGTTTTGTTTTGTTT